CCCCACATCATGAGCGATGGAAATACATCGATGATGCTACGGTATCTGAAATCATTTACATCAACACACCCAGTAAAATTCAAGATACAGTCGATTGTGTTCAAAATTGGTCTGTAGAAAACAAGATGCAATTAAATGCCTCTAAGTGCAAGGAACTTGTTATCAGTTTACAAAACCTGAGAAAGAATTTCCGCGCCTTAAGATCATCTCAGGCCAAATCGAGACAGTGAACCACGCAAGAATCCTAGGTTTGACAATTTCTAAAGATCTAAAATGGAACCAACACATAACTAACATAGTTAAGAAGGCAAACAAACGGATTTATTTTATTATTCAGTTGAAACTTGCTCATGTACCTGAAGCTGACATAATAAATTTTTACACTACCTGCGTCAGACCAGTCATGGAATTCAGCTGTCAAGTTTTCCACTTCGCCCTTCCTTCCTACTTATCTAATGCCCTGGAACGGGTTCAAAAGCGTGTTTTATCAATCATCTATCCACTGATAGGTTATGCGGATTGTTTACAAAAATCGGGCATCAAACCATTAAGTGACAGGCGTGTGGATGCATGCGAGAAACTGTTTAATGAAATCACCACAACACCAGTAGCTAATATGCATAATCATGTACCATCTAGATACTTTCCAAATTACGACCTTAGACACTCAAGGTTTTTTGTTGTTCCTCAGACCAAAACGAACAGATTTAGAAACAGTTTTTTCCCTTCATCTGCAAGGCATATCAATAATATTAACTGACAATCGATTCTGATATTCAGTTTTAGACTGGCTAACATTTTTTTTAGAAATTTACTAGTTTCATAGCTAATTTGTAATGTAACTTTAAACTTCTGTAATATAGAATTATAAATTGTAATGTAATTTTAAACTTCTGTAAATATAGAATAACTAATTTAATCATTTCTCTTGTAAAATTTAGCACGCAATTCAGCCTCTTGGCTGCTATGTGTTAATCTTATTAAACAAACAATCTATCTATCTATCTATCTATCTAGTCACGCTCCGTGATTATTGATGAACTGTACACATCGCTAATGCCTTCCTTTCTCCCGGAGTAAATACCCGAAACTGCATTTCACGCTAGGAAATGGGGAATATACGAATTAGAGATTGAAAATAGAAAAATAAAAATCCGGATCTTTACTCGGGGAATATACGAATTAGAAATTGAAACAGGAAAACAAAATTCCGGTCTTGTTTCATTGACAAATTTCATTTTTCAGTTTCATGGGGGAAAACGAATACAACACAATAAAGATATATCGACGGGAGATTAATGCGCACAGTATACGAGGTTTCTATTTCGTGAAACAATATATCAGCTATTTTACTTTTGCTGCAGTGATTTAGTTTTAAAGTAATAGGATCGCGGCTCTGCCAACGATACTGTAGAAATTACTAGTTGGTAGTGAAATATTAATTGGATATTCAGATAAAAGACACACAACATACAGTATACGTGGACCAAATTGGATTCGCAACTTCACATCCAGCCATCCAAGCGAGTTAGAAAAAACACGGTGCTGAAGACAAAATACTCATTAAAAGTAGGGTAAAATTCGGTTCGCGAACTAATAGTTTTTGAACAGTCTTTTTTATGCTCAAGGTAATAATTATGTTTTGCTGAAACAATTGCACTTGCTCCATCACAATTTAAAAACTGTACTTAAATCCGTTTTGAAGTCCAGGCCTACACTCCCTACAGTAGAGTGGTAACCAGTAGCCATGATTTACGGAACCGGTTCGTTAGGTTGGTATCGTCATGTGTGTTACCCACTCTGATCTTCAACTTACTTCGTAATCGTCTTCTTCTTACGCTAAATTTTTATTGAGCTATCATTACGCCCCCTCAATACTAGCTCTTCGCAGTCTTCTAACATGGCTCTGATAATAACTGGCTTTCTTCCACAGGCCCCAGGGGAAGGAAAGAAAAGAAGTAAGTGTCCTTCTAATAAATTTTCCATTTGTGGTTTTCTTTAACTAGTTACCAGAAAAAAAGATGGCGACAGGAGAATCCAAGCCCAAACCTGAATTTGATCATGATCTGTTATCAGGTGTAGAAGATCAACTGACAGACAAAGAGAAAAAAGGCCACTATGAAAAAATGATTTCTTACATCTTAAGTACCGTGAAAGCTGGTTGCTCAATAACCAAAGTATTTGATGGTTTAACAGCCCTTGAAAAGATGAAAAACCATGTTGGTAAAGTGGAATTCCAAAACGTCCCATTCCAAGGAGGACATTAAAATTTCCATTCCAAAAATTGCACAGGTGTGATGGATACCCCCGATTTTGGTCCTCACATCGATCTTATGGAACTAAACACAGCCAGCGCTGAAAGTGAGGCAGAAAAAATCAAGACGCAGATTCTCAACGTCTTCAAAGATAAACAACGAGAAGCAAGCGATAACCTGATCATAAATATGGCGAAAGCTAATGCCATTGCGACAACAGTTCAATTTGTGAAGATTTACTTCGCGTGGAAGACAATTTCGGCAGCTTCAAATGTTATTGAAGATAAGAATAAATTTGTGCAGATAAATAAGAATTTGCAAAGGATGGAAACCATGGTCATGGAGTTGATGGAGATCTGTGAAACACAACCGGAAGATAAGAGTATTAACCGTAGGATGACGAAAATCAATTCACTGTTCACATCCACAATCAGTAAAATCAGCGACATCACGGTGAAAATAAACGGTCACATCCAGCGACTTGACGTAGTCATTGATTACGCAGCTGTCGATGTTGTGTCCAACTCCATAACAGCACTTCGTCAAGCTTATAAATTATGGAGTGTCTTCGAGAATCTATCTTCACCTTCAAAATGGTTGGGAGCATTGAGCGTAGCAATGTACGGCGTGTTTGGCGTGGCCAATGCAGCTGTGTTCGTAATATCTCGAGACAGGCTTAAGGAATTGCAAAAAGATTTAAGAGAAGTAGTCTATCTGAGAAAAACTTTGGATGATCTACATCAACAAGCTGAAGACGCTATTATGGATTGCTAAAACTTTGGAATTAATCACAGAAGCATTCATTATATACATCTTACCTCACTATTATAGTAGATTCTTTTGTACAACGTTACCATCCCAAATAAAATCTGCGTATTCCATAAGCAGTCTAATTAAGGTGAGATACATGGTGTTGAAATGCAGACTTTACAGTTTGAACTTCAAGCTTTTCAACAAGTTTAATTTTTTTGACGCTTTTTCATAAATTGTATTTATATGCATAACCCACGTTAGATCATGATTTGATAAAATTGTACCCAAACGACATGTGAGAAGTAACGTCTGGAATAAGTTTGAAAGCATTCATTATCACATCCCATTTATTCGCCCAGTTGGGCACAGAGACGACGTCAGTATTTAGTTTTATTAGCAGATTCAAACAACAAACAAATCTAACAATAAAGAGCCGTCTGCATATAGAAAAGCCTCCGATTGAATGTCATTGACCAAGTTATTAAGGTTACAGGACACCCTTGGTCAGATAGTAGGATTAGTCTAATACTTTCATGCAAACTAGTAAAAAAAAATTTAGGCAAAATTAACACTCAAAGGTGTTCTGTAACCTTAATATAAACTAAAAATAGTAAGGGGAAAAAAATACTATCCGGAGGCACACCAGCAGCTACATTTTGCCACTCGGAATTGGTGCCCTCCAGAACAACTCGCTGTTCGCGTCCAAAGAGATAGCTTTGTAGCCATGTGAGCAAAGGACCACTAACGCCCAAATACTTTAACTTGGCTATTAACCCTTCATTCGATAGGGTTTGGCACCCTATCAAAAGCCTTGCTTGTATCAAGGAATACAGCCCTAAATTCTCTGCCATTTTGCAAGCATTGGTAAATCTGATGAATAATATACGTGAGTTGAGAGGTCGTAAAATGGCCTGGGCGAAAACCGGATCGAAATGGACGCAAAAAGCCAATGTCCATTAAAAAATCATACAGACGAGCAAATATTATTTTTTCACAGATCTTGGACAAACTAGACAATGGAGGAACGGGACGATAATTATTCTTCAAATACAGTTCGTCCTTTTTAAAAAACAGGAATAACATTGGCAAACCTCCATTCGTCAGGAAATTGTCCTAATGAGAATGAAATATTAATTAGTTTCGTGAATGACTCATGTAAGCCATTAGCGCATAATCTAATTATTCGGTTTCCAATGCCGCCGTGACCACATGCAAGCTATAGTTATATCAACATTTCATCAACTTTCACTAGATAGTTCGTTCCATGATTTTGCAGTTCTGTATATGAGAAACTTCTTTTCAGAAAATTTGTTTTAGGTTTGTTCAGGGAGTTTCAATTTACTATTGTTGCTTCTCAGAGAATAGCTATTGTTTTCACATTTGGTAATAGTTCTGCAAGATAATTCGGTAACCTGCCAGTTAGAGCTTTAAATGTCATTATCATTTCTCGATTTGTTAAAGATTGCTCAATTGGTGTCCAATTAAGATTTTGCAATATTTCTTTGCAACGAACATCATAAGAGTCTCCAGTAATCACTCGCGCAGCTCTATTTTGTAGCTTCGATAGCTTATCAATAACAGAAAAGGATCCATTGTTTCAAATCAGGGGCCGCGGAACCGGGGGGGGGCGCAATGGAGGCATGTCCTCCCTCCCGCCACTTTTTTTAGATGTGAAAAAATGCCCTTCTTTCTGGGCTAAAGAGCCCCATTTAAAGAACGAAAAAAGTATATCTTGAATGCCATCTTTTGCTGGAAAGAACTGAGTGCCCTTTTTGCTGTAGTAAGAAATGCTTCCGCGGCCTCTGTTCGAAATTGTTGAGCAATAATTAAAGTGGGGCAAAACAAAAGCATTGTCCATTTTTATTAACTCATGCCTTGGAAGAACTCGTTTTGATCCTTTAAAAAAGGAATGTTTTTTGCGATTTCTTTGCATTGTGTTCGTATCATTGTGCTTGCACCTGTGCCCAGGCGAGTATAGGTTTCGGCATGCATTTTTTATGGTCGGCAATCGTGGATCGTCGATAGTCACAAAATAGAATATTAATGAGCTGCCAATTTTTACCCAAATTATCATAAGGCTCCTGCCAATTTTTACCCAAATTATCCATAAATACCCGACGTTTTGAGAAAAATTAAAGAATTTTACTAAAGCAGCCAAAGCTGCTGTTTATTTCCAGTAATCAGAATGAATATGTTTACATTCTGAAACTGCTTGTTTACGACATTGAGGATTCAACGAAAAGAATCAATAAATTTGGAGATGTATTACAGGTAAACTACGTGAAGCGTTCCTCTTTTGACTTCGTAACTCATTTGGAATTTTCTTCATTAGCTTTGCAAATTTGAAAAACTCTTTGCAAATCCCTTGAGGGAATTTGCAATGTTCCTATCGGCTGTTGCAATATTCCAAACTTCATTTTAAATTTTCCTAACTTCCTGTTTAATTTGCTAACTTCCTGCTCTGAGGGTTGTTATTGGTCGATTATTTTTGTTAGCCAATTGCAACGCCCAGAACAGAACAGGAAGTTAGGAACTTGTAACAGGAAGTTAAGAACTTCTAACAGGAACTGAGGCAAATTTTTTTGGCTTTTAGCAACATTGCAAATTCCCTCAAGGGATTTTCAAGGGAGTTTTTTAAATTGCAAAAGTAATGAGGAAAATTGCAATCATTTTAGAATCTCAAAAGAGGAACGCTTCACGTAGTTTACCTGTAATGCTAAGTAAATCCTGTTAATTAAGCGGTCAAAATGACATCTTATAGCCCGACAAAGACAGAAATACAAAGTCAAAGACAGCGATGCCGGCCGATGCACAGGAACAATTGTATGAAATATAAACTCGATCAGTAAAAGACTGCTAAGTGTTAACTATACTAGCCTTTTATTAAAACAAAGTAAAGACCAGACACAGTACTAAATGCAGTGCCTTTACTTTCCGGCGATTCCGCCTACAAGTTGTGCTACAAGTAAAAGCTATATTTTATAGCACGCTTACATATTTCCTTCAATCGGCCGGCAGTTGTTCCGTACGCTTGGTTAAAACTTCGTTTTAAAACCTACAAGATAAAATATTGTCGGATCAAAATACTATCAAAATAAAGAGAAAAGTGTGATGAATCCATGACATCCATTGGTATACGGCCGAAAAAGAGAAAACCAACAATACGAAAGTTAAATTAAAAATGCAGTACGTTTGATCCTTGGTAAGTTGATGAATTTCACTTCAATAAAATACCTGCGTATGCATAATTATTATAAATCAACTCTGAGTTCATTGTTAAAATGACACATTCGTGATTAATTGCTTTCTTTTGTTATGCACTGCTTTAATTAGACGCAGCGGTAAAAAATGCGATTTCGCCAAACAATTTTTATCGGACTCGTATTTGCTCAATTGTTCTCCATAATGATGAAAAATATGTCATTCAAGAGCCAAAAGGTGAAAAGCTCGATCTTTATGATTAGGACATAATTTCGTCCATATAGACTCCATACCAGGTGAATTAACGCACAATGGCAGGCTTTAGTTGAATTGCGTTCTATCGCTTTGCTTAATGCACATTTTCATTGTTTTGAACAGGTTATTATTTTCAAGAATCGACATGCGCAAGTTAATGCAACGTCATTATTTAATTCAGGAGGTTATTATTTTTAATAATGACCTCCAGTATTTAAAATAATGACCCCGATTTTTCGCTTGAATAAAAAATAAACCATTGTGCGTTACAACTTTGCTTTAAAGCAAATTTTAATTACACTACAAAAATTTCCATTTTAATTTAACTACAACGTATAAAGTTTTAAAAAACTAGGGCTTATTAACTATTGTAATGTTGCAATTGCCGCCACTAATATTTAAAACAACCGACCCCATTCCATCATCACCCTTCTCTATTGGCGGGCTACTTTCCGCCGTTGCACCCTTCTCTGACGTGATACCTTATTAGTATTTTCTGGGATGCTTCGCGAAGCCAACTCTATCATACTTTCACTGCTGCAAATCTCAAACCGGTCAGACGTATTCTGTTGCTCTATTGCAAAATATAAATAAATTCAAATATTAATCGCTATGATTAATGCTTGTTACTAACTTTTAAACAAAACTTAGCTAAGACAATTTTCACCTTTTCTATCCAACGTGCTTTTCCCAGGTGCATTACATCGCCGCTCACTGACACTGTCTATCTAATTTGGACTTTCCAGTGAAATTCTCCGCTCTGCAAACAAATCCAATGACTGGGAAAGTATTCCATCCAGCCCATCGTCTTCCAAATCTAGACAGTCGCAATCCCAATCATTGGTCTTTTCAACTTCAAATTCATCGTCATATCCTTCTCCAAACAAACTAAAATCTCGCTTTCTCGAACCAGACATCCTCACTCCACAAATATCAATCAAGTAATAAAAAGGTAGCTGTTGAAAAAACACAGCCCAGGAATGCGCATACAAAACACAAATATGGTGTGAAAAAACACCATAATGTGCATTAAGTCGGATAATACCCTCACTTTGTTCATAAACACCATAATGTGCATTAAGTCGGATAATACCCTCGCTCTCAGTATTATTAAAAATAATGACCTCGCGCTACGCGCTCGGTCATTATTTTTAATAATACCTCGAGCTTGGGCATTATCCTATACAGAATTCAGTAATATATACATGAAACAACTTGGTTTAAGTCCTCGGCAGATTGGATTTACAAATCTTATGGGAGTTGCGAATATAATAATACCATCATGTCTATTCATTGGCGAAAAATTTCGGGTGCGAAAACTTTTGGTTACTATTGGATTAGTTTTTCTGGTCTTAGTATGTTATTTTCTGCCGCTGCTTCCTTTAATAGTTTCGTCACCAGCAATCTTTTGCTTAATATCAAACAATTCGATAGCGTTGACGTCCGAACATTCTATCAATGGTCCAGTGATTTCAAAGAATTTGTTTCCTACAAATAACTCACATGACTCGGAGCGCGGAACACCGTCCACAAACACAGAGACAAGTTATCCTGAAAATGTTCCC